AAGGAAGATGTGGGGCTGTGGTAGCTAGGTAGTGTAGCTGCTGTCAACAGTGATGAAGACCATGCCAGCCCAGAACAGGAAGGCAAAAGCTCCCAAAGGTGATCCTGTCTTGTGCAGCTCTATGTACAGAGCCCTAATGCACCATTATGTTCTCGTTCGCTTCCTTATGGTAAAATATTGCTGCAGACAAGATAGACAGGATTTTAATACAGCTTAACAACTCAAATCCAAGAGAGAAAGTTTGACTCAACAGTTTGTGCTCAAAATGGGCACAGGGAACAGGCACACAGGGAGGTAAGAATTCCCTTTCCCCAAAGTTTTTTCCTATCCAGGACCAGAACCCAAGTGAGCTTGTCTGGAGACTCTGTGCACACAACCTCCTGCTTCCCTGAGGTGAGATGCAGGAGCGTGCCAGGTCCTGCACAGTAGGGAGAAGGGTAATTGCAGTGACTAGCTGTGTTATGCACTAAAATGAAAACCTGAGCAGGTCTCAGCCGGAGGTTCAAAAAGTGTTGCCAGGACGTTTCTGACTGGGGTGGTCAAAGACTGAACAGCCTCCTGTGCAGTTTGCAAACAACCCAGCAAAGCTGGTGAGACACAGGAAAGACTTAACACAATCTGAGGCCGCTCAAGCTAAACAGTTCGCATAACTGAACAGGCCACTGGAAAGGACAGCTAAGACTAGCAATTGAGAAAGTTCTGATAGTGCACATGATGTGGGTTAGCAAAAATAAGATGTGTTCAAGGACGTGGAGGCAGTCTGTTGCTATTAGGGTTAGTGCATAGTTACCAATCATAAGGGAATATGGGGTGCGTGAACAGCGCGTGATTTATGTCTGTAGCCTATCCGAATAAGCGTGATCGCGTGTACAGATATGGAAAATGTATATAACCACGCAAGCAGAGCAATAAAGGGAACTGACTGTGCACTGCATCAATGTGTGAGAGCCGTTCCTGTCCTTGCACGGACGCTGAAACTCGGCAGGGCTGTGAAAGTGGATGGTGAGGAGAGTGTAGAACCTTCTCACTGTACATTTCTAAGAGGTTAGACCAACCTCTACAAGGTTAAATAAGGCTGAGTCGGTCCAACCTTGAGATCAAGTGATAGACTAGCTGACATCTCATAATCTGTTCTGTCTCCATTTTCTCTTTTTTTTTTTGTCCTGAGAGGAATAACACAAACTTGAAGTGTTCTATTGACATGCAGTCTTTCGATCTACCCTGCTTCCCAACCAAGGTAGCAAAACGGAGTCAAAGCAGGTGGTGGAACAAAGCACACCAAATGAGCATATTTCAGATCAGTGCAGGAAACTCAGAAGAGCAACCGTTATGCAGTGGAATTTAGGAATTTTATGCTTTACCTTGGCAGGCTAGATTGAGGCCAAAAAAGATCTTTGCACCCTGATGTCACTTACCAAAGGTGTTTTGGAGAAGCCCTCAAAAAGCAGAATTTGACCTACAAATGAAGTACTAAATGAGACCTCATCTAGTCCGAGTCTTTCTATGCCAGCGTAACCTGGCCAAACCCTGGCTAAGGACACAAGTTTCTTGAGCTTCTTAATGAAGACAACACCAAAATTACGTTATTCTAAAACAAATAATTTGCTTGTAATTACAGAGATAATGACATTCTGACCACACCTACCAATTAGAAAGTTGTAATAAAGAGTAATAAAACACCTTTTCCTTGGCCTGCAGAATCAACCCACACACTAATATGATTTACTCCTATTTGCTGATGGAGGATTCTAGTAATAAAATTTAATGTGGAGGAACAAGGTGCATTTAACCAAAGCTGTAAACATCTCTAATTCTGTTTAAAGCTACAGGGTGCAGTCCACTAACATTTAACAATCTGATACTAAATTGGTATGAAGCTAATAGAGATCTATTTGTTAAAATATCAGTACTAGGCCATGTTTTACCTGTGACGACAAAAGGAGTAACCAAAACAGTACGACTCAGCAGACTCCAACTGCTGCTTAATAAGGTATTACGAGTCTTCATGGGAGCTCCTGTCATAAAAGAACAGGACCACATTCAGCTCTGCTGCTGTTCGGCTGAAGCCAGAGGAGTTAGGCCAGAGATTAATTTGGCCTTGCAAGTCCTGTTAGGAGCTAAATCTAACTTATTCAGCACTTCTGCTAAAGCACATGATATTCTGTGAAATTTTCTTTTCTGCAGTCTTTCAAGTGAGTTGCTTTGAGACTTAAAGATGTACAATTAATTGCAAGGTAAAGGATGACATTTTGCTTTCTCCAGTGATATGATCTGGCATTATTAAATCTGGGTGGACACTGTATAACAAAAGGCATAGGAAATGTCTGCTCAGGAAGATGGGTGTTGTCCTAAGCAGTATTTCTGGCCTCCTTTCTCTCAGCTAGTCTGTTGCCTTTCAGGATTCTGCTGTCATCTGAAGTTGGTCACAAATTGAAAACATTTTAAAATAATGGAATTTTCTGCAGAATGAAAAGTTCAGTTCCCACCTATTGGGGTTGTCTAAATGCTGAGTACGAGATAAACACATATCCTCGAATCATTCTCTAGCAAGCAATAAATCCTACACAGACTGAGAGAACTTATCTCACCAAAAAAAGTAATTTATTTAGCTCAAATAGCTGTTACTGTGGGGAATTAGATACCAAACATAAACAAGAATACACAGAAGATTAATACACAGAGAATGGTATTCATTAAAATATCGGGCATAAACATACAGTAGAGGATTTCTCTGAACAGTGGGCACAATGGCCAGTTGAATGTAAAAGCAATGTTTATATGCCAAGCTTCAGAAAGTTTTCACAACTAAGTGGTCAACTCATTAATGTGTTAGGGTTTTATTTTTAATTCCAAAGGAATCACTAATAAGTTCTATACTTTTCTAAGGCCTACCTTACAGCTGTCTGCATAAGAGATGTGCTCTCTGAAAAGTCAGTCAAACTCCGGCTGTTCCAAACCTGATCCTTAAAGGTTTGATGGCTCTTTAACACCAATTTCGTTTTGGTCAATAAGTTGATTGCTGTTGTCAAAGTCTGTCACCCGATCAGAGAACAAGGAAAGATATCATGCCCTTTTGGTGGGTGATTAAACTCATGGGATAGTGAAAAGGTGAAACAAATATTTTCCTGACAGCTCAAAAATGCAAACAATAAAAATGCAAATAGTTACTAGCAAATCTATTGATAAAAGCTGGCCTTAGTTTGGAAAGAACTGTTTTGATGAGGGACTAGAGTTGGAATTAGTACTGTATATAATGATCAGCCTGACAAGCTCTTCTTGAGGTTTTTTTTTTTAATACAAGAGATTTGTATCTAACATGGAAGCAGGTGACTGCATTTTACATTTACATATCCTGGCTACACAGTAACAGATTATATATGCTGCCTATTCTCTACTGCTCTTCATATACAGACTTGTTTATTCTGGTGAAACCATCCAAAATGCAGTGATGTGGTCTCTGCCTTTGTCATGTGTCCCCATCCCTGCATTGCCACCACTGCCCTTCTCTCCTGCGCTCCCATGCAGTGACAGGAATAAGGGCATGAGTACTTCCACGATGGTTCCGAGCCGAGCTCTGAGCCCTGGTGAGAAGTTGCTGTATCACTAAAAAAGCCTGACCTGTAAAGGAGGAAGCAACTTGAATCACCTTGGTTAGGATTTCAAAACCTGACTGCAAGTGCTACTCCAAAATCCACACTAAATACTGCTGAATGAGTGGCTTGTCAAGGGCTCCCTTCCAAACCTGGAGAGGACCTGGTACATGCCAAGTATCAGATCACCATGGCCTAATGGTGAGCTAGAGCCCATACTTTTACATCTCCATTAACTCCGCAGTTACACAAGAGTTAAAGCTGCCCAAGGGCTGAAAGATGTTGGCTACGCAGCTCTCCCTGAGTCTTGGTGGAATATGGGCACTGGAGATTGAAGAGCTTGAAAACATCAGTCCAGCTGTCCTTCATGACTGAAATACCCAGGATGCCACAGAATAGCCCGTTTCCCATGAATGTGTATCAAAGAAAAAGGAAAAATCCCTTCTCAGTTATCAAGAGGTGAAGAAAGGGGAAGAGTATTTTGTGCTCTCACATTAGGCTCATTTCCCTGTCTCCCAAGCTGTGGTCTTTCCAAATAAATAACTCCACAAAAAGTGATCAGGGTGTTACAGGGTCTGCTCCATTCTGAAGGATAAGCTGTGTGGTTTTTCCCCTAGGTCAGCAGCTCGGTAATGTAGGCCACAGGAGGAGACTTTTGCAGGTTTGGGACTACCAGTCTAGATCAAGGCCAAAGGCAGTGTTCTTGTTCTGTCAAAGTCTTTTACTCTCCATCAAATTTTTCCTATTCCCAATTAGAGTTTAAAAAAGATCAAATCCTGGAAAATTTTCCCAAGCTATAAATATTCTTCATCAGATCATTTGGGTTTAACTACGAATGTTTCCTTTGTATTCTTTCAATATGTTTGATTTGAAGCACTTAAGAAGAAGTTTACTAAAAGTAATATAAGCTTTTAAAGACGATGTCATTTAGAAAGGGAATTTGAAAATATAGAAACCAAACCTTTTTATAACTGTTTCTGGCTGGGGGGAAAAGCAGAAACGTAATTTTAGCTTTTCCTCTGCTGTAGGTAAAAGGCTCAGCTTTACTGAGTTAATATTTTTCTGACAGGAAAAATAGCATTAAATTGACATATTTCCTGGTCCGTGGTCTTTGTCTTCAGAAGCAGGCTGATGTGCATGGATCCTGCCACTTACCCTTCTGAGGCTGGTGAAGATGATGTTCGCAGCTGGACTTGTCACATTAGCATCAAAGAAGGAATGATGTTTAGTATTGAAAATGCCCCAGGTGGAACTTCAGTCCGTTTAGAACAGGGGGACCAAACACTATGAAGGGTGTCTCCGGGATGTCACTTGTAGACCAGCTGCTTTTTCTATGATTCCTTTCAACTACGTTTTGTTTAAAAGTCTCATAGAAAAATAGAAGTGCATGAATGGAAATAAAAAAATAGGGACATTTTTATGATTTTTATAAATAAACAGCACAGCAAGAATTAAATAGAACACAGACAAAGGACATTTATACAGGCATGAACTATTACAGCTTGTTCTCCTCAAAGAGTATCTGTGCATAGACTGTCGTACTGGGAATGCCTTTGGCTTCCTGAATTGGCTTCATAAGTTCAAGTTCAGCATATGTTAAATTCTCCTCTGCGATTTTTGGCTAGGAAACAGAACCAACAAATTAGTTATAATGTCGTTACCACTGAATGTAAAAGATGCCTCAAATATTCTATAGAATGGGCTATATTTCTTCTCTCACACATGCTAATTCTACTATGCTGTTAATCAGTTTAGTCTGCATTGGAGTTAGTTCATAGAAGATGAAATAAAAATGATATGAAAAATAAGAAACAGGAAATAGTAGGATTATCAGGTTCATTTCCAATTTTTCCTTGTTCCTCAAACACTGAACTTTTTAATTTGACAATTCAAATATTGCAAATTTGAAAGATGTGTGTTAGCAAAATGTTCATCCTCTTTAATCCTAAATTTCCCAATTTAATTTTAGTTATTACAGATTTCACAATTTGAAATATACATGCCAGATTTGCTTCCCAGCTGTAAACCTTGGACCAGTTACATCTCTAATCAAAGCCACTCAAAGTATCACTTACTATCTTTCTTAACAGAACCAAAAAACATGTTAAAAATATGCAGAAGGCAGCGAAAATGGACAGAATTGAGTTATTGTCATTCCAATGGGATTTCAGCACTTTTGCCATGCTACTCAGAGTTTAGAACAAAGGCCATACCACCAAAGCTGTCTGCTGTATTACTATGGTTGAGTTTTAGACTTAAAACTATAAAACTTTGCTAAGAGAGATGTTATCAAGAAAATTCACTGAACCAATTTCATGTGGGTGACAGAAAAGCTGCCTACGGCTACTGGAGACCTGCTACTGGAGACTTCATCCAGATTCAGCGTGGTGGCTTAGAGGAGGAAAGTTGTCTTGTGTTCCTTTGTGTGTGTTGGCTCATCAGTTGGGATTGGTTTGTTCATATCAAATTCACTGCAGAAAATGTAGCAACAAACAAAACAGTTTATGCTGAATTGTGTGGGGGGCCCTAGTACTTGATATGGACTTCATTTCATCTGCAGAAGATTAAAGTCTGTGCTCCCTGAAGAAGGGTGAAGTGCTAAGGCCCTGTGCAAGTGAAGAACTGGAGAACTTGTTATCTTCTTGGGTACTGTGTTCTACCTGAATATAACTGGTGTCCTCAAGTTTAAGCTCAAAAAGGACAATTAAAGCAAAACAAAAAACATTTCAGCCATGCAAATTGTTGCAGTCACAAGATTATACCTTATAAAAGAGTTGCACCTCTGAGACCAAGAAAGGCTTTGACAGTTGTAAATGGAAAACAGACTCAAAGTTCAGAAACCAAGATTTTCCATACAGTACTTCAATGTTACAATGAAGAAATCAACAATATTTTCCAATGCCATGAGTTTCCTTTATGTTTTATTTACTGCTATTTATTTCTTTCTGTGTTAACATAAATGATTCCTGTTTCCTTGAAATGTGTTTGAATAATTATTATATTGTCTTCTGGCTAAAAAGATAAACATTTAATATCCTCTGAAATCAGTCCCTGTGCTCCCCTGCTTCCTGTCTTTTGCACTGCTCTGGAATCCTCTCATTTGCCTTTACAGTTACTCACAGTCTGGATTTCAGATTGTTTCCCTCTGGGTGGATCAGTTTACACTTTTCCAGCATTAATTTAATCTTATTTCTTCTCTGCAGATTTGATCCTGAAACACTTAGTGCAGCTGCTACTGCTGCAAATGGTGTCACTGAAGTCAGTTGATCTGTCCATGTGAGTAAAGGCCATTTGCACAGCTAACTGCAGGACTGCAATCTTTGCATTTGATTATTCACATGGTTTTCCCTCCCTCCCCCTCTTGCTTTGGTAGTCCTATTTGATCTCAGCTTCTGGTCCTCATTCACTATCAAATGCTCCATTGCTGACCACACAGAAGATTTCCTGCTTTCCTTGAACTCTCTGGAGTAATGATGTAAAAGAACTTCCTGTGGATCACAGCCTGATCTTTTATGTAACAGAAATAAAATCAGACATTTCTTTATTTATGTATTGGGACTGACCTGAACCACAATGTATAGAAAGACATCTGTCCTATCCTGGCTTTGGCTTAAAGGGTTAGAAAAAACTCTTGGTCAGCCACTCTAATCCTTAATTAATTTTTATATTCCCTTCTTCCTTCCAGCCTGTGAGAGTATTAGCCTCAGTTTCTAGGCATTTAAGAGGTTTTTTTGCCTTTTTTGATACATTAAAAATCTCTTTTGAGATTTCAAAATTATATGTGCCCGTCTATTCAGTAGGCAGTACAGAGGCTAATACAGAAGCTAAGTTGAGGTTGGAAATCACAATAACACCAGCAGATGTTGAAGACTTTATTCCCTGTGTTTGATAGCACATCTAGTCTCTGTTTGAAGGTATTGGGACTTTTGGTGCCACCTTCAGTGGGTGTCACCTCAGACCCTAAATGCAGAATGACACACTGCATATGAAAAGCCTCCTAAAAATGAATCTGATAAAACTTTACAAACAACCTCTTGGTCATGCCAGAGTAAAACTCTACATTTTCTAAGACTGACCCAGTGCATCTTTTGAAGTAGAAATATTTTCATTGTTCTGTAGAAATTGGTTGCTCAGGGCAAGCTAAATCTGTATCTGCTTTCCCCTTTGCTGTTTAATTGTATTTCATGTTAGGCTTCCATTTAGAAAATGCCGCTTGTCCTAAAATCGCCAACCCAACGCCCAGCTCATGTAAATTTTAGAACTAAGATTTATGAAATCATATTGTCCAGGTGTTTTATTATATTATCTCTAAATTGCATTGTTTTCCAGTGTAGATTATCTCTTTATTCTTACTTTATTCTATTACGTTTGGATATGAAAAATAACACTAGATTCCCCAAAACAGGTCATTGGGCAGTAGTGGCTGATGTGTTGCTTTCATACATTTTTATGATGTTCCTATAGTAAACATAATTCAATAAAGCCAAAACACACTAAATAAATAATTGCATCTAGAAAAGCAATAAAACCAAATAAAATTAGTACTTTCATAAGTGGAAAAGGTACTTCAATTGCTGCTACAAGCAACAGCACACCATAAAATGTGTAGAATAATTTCCCTTATGCATATTTCTAGTATGTAATAATTTGATTGAAAATATGAGGAAACACACAGGAGGTTCAAAATTGTGAAGGGTATACAGTTTTCAGCAAAGGATGCGTAATAACAGTGCATGGGAGCCAACACTATTTTAAAGTACCTATGGTAGCCAAGGTTTTATTCATACACTCTTCTGTACTTCATTTGTCAATCAGTTTAATTTAATTTTGCTGGTTCGTTTGTCCAAAACCAATTTTTTTTTTGAACAGGGAGGGAAAGAAAACTACTTCCATGATTTCTTCTCTCCTTTAGATTGGATAGCATTTTGGCAATGTAAACCTGGAATCCTTCCACCACCTCCTTTTTGGAACAATAGCGTGACTTTGATAACTGATTTTATAGATGGGACTGATACCAGGGCAGAAGAGGAAGAGACAATGAATGACTGCCCATTCAACTCTCTCTTTCCATCCTGGCTCTTCAATTAGGAGGTCATCAGGATTTCTATGGCTACAACATCGTTTCCTGAAAAATTACATCATTGTTCTAAAATAAAGTTGAAATTATTTCTTCAAATAGAAATCCGTTCCAGAATGACATTTCTAGATAGAGTCTTTATCGTGTGTGTCTCATTTCTCATCTTGGGATTGCACGCTTTGCAGAAATATAAATTGGGAAGAGTCATCATTTTCCAGCATATCTTCTGGCAAATGCAAAATTATTCCTCTTCCAGATTTCTTTCAGTTTAATTTTAGTTTATTCCAGTCACAGGGCTTCCCATCAGCAACTATGCGAAAGAGTTTACTTATAGGAACAATTTTCTTAACAAATTTCTGCAAAGTCTATCATGTGAGTATTTAAAAGAATCTTAAGTATGTGTATACATAGTTTTATTTTCATTGGGTTTGTCCAGTATATAAATGTGTTAGAAGTTATCTAGAAGGATTGGGTTTTTAATGAAAATTACTCTGATTTTTATGTCATAATTACCAGGAATGTCAATTTTGCTCTTCCTAGGCTTAGCTGGTTTGTATCTTGGCAGCCTCAAGGATGTTTACAGTGATCACTGAAAGTGCTTGAAGTTTTAACTAAGACCACCTTTATCCATATTTATAATTAGGTATGAAGAAAATAAGGAAATAATAAAATCATAAACTTAACTTGTCTGGAAAAAAACCTGATGCCAACTTGCACTTATAGATTGCTGCAATCTCACTGCTCCATGACCACACCAGTTATCGTGAAGATGACAAAATCAATGTGAATTTCTAATTAAAAATAAAAATCCCCTGATTCTCATTTACTATCAAAAATAAGCAGAAAAGGGGTCACTTCTCAGTTCACTTCAATCTTGAATATTTTAGTGCCTATTGCTACAGACATTTGCCTTGGAATTCAGTGTCTATACAATCACATGCGATGGAGTTTTTGTTGGGATACGAAGCAGAATGACTTTAACACGGGACCAGGGTAAGAAAATTATGTTTAAGGACCAAACTGAATTTTTATCTCTGAGTTTTCTGGATTTAATAAGCACATGTCCCAAGTTCCAGTCAGAGCTTCATAATGTTTTTAGTAACTCAGATTTCTTGCAGCAATACTTGAAAATGAAACTCCACTCTCACTGACATGCCCCTTGCTTGTAAGTGAATGGATTAGGTCAGCAAGGATAAAATCTTGCCAGTTCTGCATAGGTTTGCTGGTCTGATTGCCAGTACATGGCAAATTGCCACCTATGGATCAGCCACGCTGTGCTGCTGGGTGCACACTGCGGTGCCAGGAGGATGCTGTAGGAAATGCAAAATGGAAAAGGTACAGAGTCAAGAGGTGGTGGTGAAGTTAGTTTGATCCAGCCTCTAGGAATTGCACTTCTCTGCAGGTTACTCCACAGCACAAAGCAAACAGCCCTGCCCCAGTGCCACAAAGTAGCTCTTTATTAGCAAGCACATGCTGGAACTACAATTTTTTCTCTCCCTTTCTCTTGCAAAGGCCAAACTCAGATCTTTGGCCTTTTTCCTTTC